TTTGTCATTCCACTTTTGAAAATAAATTGCATATTTTTCCTACATATTTGGTTTTTTCTATTTTTAGATGTCAATGAATTGTTGAATATTATAATGTTATGTCTCTTTTTATTGTCGTTATAATTCAGTTAAACTAACTTTTCCAAATCTTTGAAAACAGACGTGCGTTCGCACTTGTAGTTGCTATGAAATTAGGATGTTCATGAGTGATGTTGATACCTTACCATGAAGTACCCTGCTTGCTTATTTGTATCTCATAAAAACATAATGATGCATCATATAGTACTTAAAAGATACAACGAAAACAACAAAAAGTAATTTCATTTTCTAAAGAATTTTTATGAATATTGTACTCGAATGTTCTCGATGAAAACGTTCTTCCTATCAGTTATCCAACAAAGGATGATATTGTCCGTACATCCTTCAGAGGGCATAATGGCATTGACTGGGAGTAGGTCAAGATCACACGGGCTCGAGAACCGGGCAAGCGACCCGGTTTCTGGCTATAACCAGCATCCTACTACACGGTTATTTTATGACAGGCTTTTATATACCCGGACACAGAAACCATTTTTATCGGTGTCACAATCGTGACAGTTATAACCGTTAAAATATTGTGCTGTATTTTTGTGTCACGGGTATTTTTATGTTACTGGTATTTTGTATTCAATTTTCGGGTGCTAGTAAAAAGTTAAATACATATGAAAATTATTGGTCAATGGTCAAGAATAACAATGGATAGTTTCGAATCAGAGGTAGCACAGAATTCGGAATTTATAGTATAGACTTGTTCACTACAATGTGATTTTTTTTCAAAAGTAGGAGTATTCTTCTGCTGATCTGTTTGATAAGTAACAGATAGCATTTAGTAATCATACTGTTAATAAAAGCATTGTTTCATCCTAGCAAATTCTGCGAACATTTTCATCAGTTTCCCCCCGTCCTGACGCGCATCTAAAGCTCGATACGGGTTGCCATTGACAATGCCCGGACTAGGTCATGATCGCTCCGTGCTGCTGACCCAGTTACCGGTCATGATCAGCCTGGACTCAACACTGAAATATTTCACGAACACTATTGACGTATGAAGTTCTGTATCAAGGACGTTTTGTGTTCCAATGGATTTAAATAGGCTGTTGTAATAATATGAAAATTTTCGCTAGTTTTTGTGACTGTTCTGTGGACAAAGTCATGTGTGACAAAATATTTTTAAATATTTATTACATGGGACTCATAATATGGTCTAGAAGCCTATTGACTGTCTCGTTGGCCGAGTGGTCGTAAGTGAAACTGCCGGGCAAGGAATGTCGGGTTGGATTCCTAGGTTGGGCAAGGAACTACTGGATCTTTGAAAAAAATCTTAGTAGTAGCACAGAGTCTGGAATTGTTCCCAGAACCTGGCAATAGGCTCACTCCCTATTACATGGGACTCATAACATGAACAGTGAAACGTTGGTGTTACATTGTACAGAGGCATTAAGTGCCTTAATGTGCATCTCTGCCTCCCCTTTGAGGATAAAATACGTGATATTATGTTACACAGGGTGTTTGGAACATGGACCGACACAATTTTTCAGGGATGTGTGACGTTATTAGCTACCATTTACCTATAAACCCTTTGGCCCAAATGTCTCGGTTGGTTGTAGTTGTTGAAAAAATATGTACAATGAATGATAGCAGAAACATAATAGGTCGTGGCATGTCGTAACATCTAATTTTTTAAAGGTTTAGAGAGTTTACTAAATAAATTAACTAAATATCGCGGGTTACTCACGTGAAAATACTGAGCGTGGTCGAGGCGATGTCGCGCAACTTACTGACCGCTCATGCTGCTTATGAGAAAGAGCCTTTCAGTAGCTCGAAACTAGTAGAGCTTCTCTCAATACATATATTCACTTGAGTAACCCGTGATTTTTAGTTAATTTAGTATATATATTATTGTCGATAGTTATTATAAAGGTTTCAGAGCATTACAAAAACAAAAAATTTAAAAGTGTTATCCTTTCAATGTAATATATAACGACCGTAAGCTGGATGTTAAATCGCATACAATTGGAATTATGACAGGGTACAAAAATTAAAAATCTAATTAGTCCGTAAGTTAGGTAATAAAAAAATATTAGACACTTATTTATCTATTTTGTCGTATAATAAAACAATACTTAGATAAAACGAATCAAAGTTTAGGAGTGGGGGCTGAAATGTCATTTATACGTATAAAATATTAATAGAAGTGACGTCACCCGACATTTCAAACCAATGTATTGTCAAAAGTATTCGTTTCTGTAAGAAAATAAAAAATACGTGTCTAATGATTTAAAATAATCTACCAGACGGACATTATAATATAATAAAAATTAGGCATCTACCCTTTTATATGCACCTCTGCATACCCTTCCGGAGATTAAAAAGCCTGTCATTAGGCAAATGTAATACAGAAATGCAATAATAAAATGTCCCCCTTATGTCATTCTGGGTCAAGGTTCGCTGGAGCTTGCGACCTGGTTTTCGGTCATGATCAACCATTCAGTTTGCGATCAAAGAAGGGAGGGGAGGGGTGGAAAGGAATCTTGCACGTTCATACTTTATATTAAAATGCAGTGACTAATCTTTTTTGTGCTTTTTTATATTCACTTTTCTTTGAAGTCACTTTTGACATTTTCTTTTGTGACGAACTCTTTATATTATAGTATCGAAGAACTTCCTTTATAACAGTTAAGAACTATACAATAAAGATCATTTTTGATTAAGTTTTGATTTGTGTCTAATTATGTTTGCCAAATACTATTAGACATGTCGCGCAGAACCTAACGGGTTACCCGGGCTCCGGCTCGACGTGCAGGAGAAGGGACGGGGTAGTTTTTAGTCAGTAAGACTCCGACAGATGAATATAAATGAAAAGTAAACCAAAATACGTTTGAAATCTATTTATTTGTACGTTGCACACACAGTTTTAACGTTAGCAACCACCATGACAGATGACAGACAGAGAGAGCTATATATGAGAGAGACAGAACATACTTAACTATGGCTAACTACCTATTACATTGTTCTTCAACTCCCCCTCTCAATGTAATAAAGGTTAACTAAATATTCCTACTACACTATAAAGACTCCACACAAAACAAATAACAATGTAAGCTAGTATGTATGATCTCACACTATTGGTTAAGTATAACAAAAGAAATAACACATCTATCCTACTATACCACATAAGTTTACAAACTTTATAAGTAAATTAATTTTCAAAGGCTTGGTAAACATGTCAGCCACTTGTTCTTCTGTACTTACATATTGAATACATATTTTATTATTTTCAACCAATTCTCTTATAAAATGGTATTTTATATCTATGTGTTTTAATCTCTTTACACTGTTTGTATTTGCAATCATTATGGCAGACTGATTATCGCAATACATATGAACTGGAGACACATCTCTTATTTTAAAATCAGATAACAAGTTTATAAGCCAGCATGCCTCAGCTCCTGCCATACTCATTGCAACATATTCAGACTCGGTTGATGAGATACTGACAATATTTTGTTTCTTTGAACACCAGGATATCAGACAACCAGAAAACATAAAACAATATCCCGTAGTGGATTTTCTATCCCTAATATCCCCTCCCCAGTTGGCATCACAGTATCCTATCAACTTTTCATTTGTACATTTAAATATTAACTTATAATTTATTGTGTGTTTAACATATCTAAGCACTCTTTTTAACGCTACTAGCAAAGCATCATTTACTCGATCTTGGTATCTACTTAAAATAGACATTGCCACACAAATATCTGGCCGTGTACCCGAAACTGCATACATCAAACACCCAATAATTTTTCTACACATATTTTCTGCATATTGTGAACAATTTTTATTTTCTAAATCAGAAATGTTGAAATTATAATCCATAGGTGTGCTCACAGGTTTACATTCATACATATTGAATCTTTTCAAAACATTTTCTAAGTACTTTTTCTGACATATCTCTGTTACATTAGTTTTTAAATTTTGTTTCACATTTATTCCTAAAAATTCAGATATTAAGCCTAAATCTTTCATTTCAAACTCCTTGCTTAATATCAATTTTAAATTTTTAATTTCTATTTCATTTGAACCAAATATCAGCAAGTCATCTACATAAATTAATACATACATTTGTTCTTTGCCATCACACTTTGAGTACAAACATGAGTCACACTTAGACCTTTTAAAACCTTCTCTTAAAATGACAGAATTAAACTTATCATTCCAATACTTTGGAGATTTCTTAAGTCCATACAATGACTTATTTAATTTTACAACATTGTTTTCATTTTCATATGCACCATCTGGCAGTCTTATATATACATTTTCTCCTATTTCACCATACAAAAAGGCTCCAGTTACATCTAACTGATAGACAGGTAAATTTAATTTAGTAGCAATGGCCAGAAATAACCTAAACGTTGCCAGTTTAGCTACAGGTGCATAGATCTCATTAACATTTATAATATCATTTTGTTCGAACCCTCTAGCGACCAAACGAGCTTTGTACTGTATATTACCATTATTATTCTTTATTTTAAAAACCCATTTACTACTAACAACCTGTTGGTCCCTAGGTGGTTCACAAATATCCCATGTATTATTATCTTTAAGAGTTTTTAATTCTCTTTGAATGGCTTCACGCCATTTACAACAATCTGGGCTGCTTATGGCCTCACTATATGTTTTAGGTTCATTATTTAACACTAAATTGCAAGAATAGAATTCAGTCTGTTTCCTAACACGTTTGCTACTATATCTTCTTAAACATTGTTCACTATTATTACCACTATCCTCACTATCACTTACATCGCTAGGCTCATACAAACTACACTCAGAACTCCCTGTACAATCAAGTTCACTGTTCACACCTGCACTACATTCTGCTTGTATGTCTTGGCTGTCATTTTGTTTACTTTGATTGGAGTCCAGTTGTTGTGTGTTCTCGTGTGTGTCGCATCCTGAATTTTGTTGACCATCACCGTTAAGGCTCTCGTCCAGCAGCAAAGGTGATACTGCCGCCCCACACTGTGTTGTAGTCGCTGTTGTAAGGCCCACTGGAAAAATGACATCTCTTTTTAATACAACTTCATTTTTCTCAGGAATGTATATTCTGTATCCTTTTGTTGTCGTCCCGTAGCCCACCATTATTCCCTTCTCTGCTTTTTGATCCCATTTTTGTCTTCTTTGTTTGGGTATATGTGCATAAACAGGGGCTCCGAATACTTTTAAATCAGAAATATCATAAGTCTTGCCTAACCATAATTCATATGGGCTTTTTCCTACAACTGAACTTTTGCCTGTTCTGTTGATGACATAGGCTGCTGTATTAACCGCCTCAGCCCATAGAGAGGTTGGCAGATTCCTCGCACAAAGCATTGTTCTGGCTGCTTCGACCAGAATTCTCATCTCACGTTCAGCCCTACCATTTTGTTCGGGTGTATAAACTACAGAAAACTGGTGTATTATTCCTTTTGACTCAAAGAATTCTTTCAGGTCGTTATTTACGAACTCAGTTCCATTGTCGCTACGAAATATCTTAACAGTAAATATGTTGCCAGTTTCGTTTTCTGACTCCATAATAAACCGCTTCATGTAACTTTTAATCTCAGTTTTGTTTTTAACAAAGCACACTTTCCTATATTTCGAATAGTCATCTTTAAATATAGCAAAATACCTTGATCCTCCTATGGATGGCACTTCCATAGGCCCGCACGTGTCGGCGTGGATGATTTCACATGTGCTTGAACTAACGTTATTGCTCACTGGATAGGGCAATCGAGACATTTTGCCCTTCAAACAGCTTTCACAGGTAGTGGCGTCCGCCTCCGATTCCATTTTCACATTGTGTTTCTTGAGCACGTCCTTTACGTAAGGTATGTTTTGGTGCGCTAATTTTTCATGCCACTCGTGTAGATCGGACTTCATATCCGAGACATTGGCTGCGTATGCAGTAATCAGCCGTACGTTTAAAAAATACATACTCCCGCACCTCTCGGCAATGGCCATCAGTTTATTTTGTTTATAAAATTTACACATCTTCTCCTCGGTTATCATGACATAACCTTTTTTAGTAGCACAATTGACAGAAAAGAGGTTAGTTTCTAAATCTGGCACATGCAATACGTTGTCTATGGTAGACTCGATCCATTTCCTACCATTCCAAACTTCAAGCGCCACCTGTCCGTAACCATGTACTTTAATTTGCGTTCCGTTTCCCACAGTTACCTTTTTGTTTTGCGCCACAGAGTACGAAGTAAATAAGTTAATGTCATTACTCATATGTTCGCTGGCACCGGAGTCTACTAAAAACTTCGTGTTCTTGAAATGCTCACCAGATGCACTGTGTACTACGAATGCATTACTTTCTTTTTCTTTCTTGAAACGGCATTCCTTTTTTTACATGTCCCGGTTTGTTGCAATAATAACACTTCATCACTTTGTCCTTATAATTACGGTTTTCGTTACTGTTCTTGCATTCACTTTGAAAATGTCCCAGTTTCCCACACTTGAAACACCTCACTTTCTTATTGGATTTACGAGTTAAAAATGCAGAGGACGATTGTGTACTTCCATCCTTTTCTTTAATCCTCTCTTCTTCCACTAACAATCTAGCCACTAGATTGTCGTATGTCTGCTTGTCATCTGGAGCAGACTCCCACGCCGAGACGAAATGCTTATAATTTTCTGGCAATGACATCAGTACTTTAGTGATGACAAACTTATCAGTTATGGGTTCACCGAGCTGCTTCAGTTGATTTTGCAGTTCTTGCACTTTTGACAGAAACACCGACATATCTGTACCTTCTTCATATTTAAATTGGAAGAACCGCTGCTGCACTATGTGTATACTAGTTTCCGACCTCTGTTCGTAGACACTATGTAACTTGCTCCACATAGCCGCCGATGTATTACACGAGATTACGTGCAACATGACTTCTTCACTCATCCTTGTCACCAGTAATGATTGGGCTTTTGCGTCTTGCGTATCCCAAATATGTACCTGTGCATCTTCCTCGGGTTTTACTTTCGTCCCGTTCACTATTCCGTATAGACCTTGACCTCGCAGCAACACGGACGTTTGGAACTTCCATATGTTCCAGTTCTTGGAACCCTCCAACTTAATGATGTTGTGACCACTTTGACCCATGGATTCCATCTTGATTCGAATAAATTTCTCCTTCCTGTAGTCAGAACTGCCTCGCTCGAGATGTATTTCGAGCAAGTCTCCTTCCCGCCTTCCCGGTATAACCTCCACACGCGTGGCACCGGTAATTTACTTTCCGACTCACAGTAATCAACGATATTATGGCTTACATTTATTAATCCAAGCTAGTTATTGACACTGGGCCCATAACCAGATGAATATAAATGAAAAGTAAACCAAAATACGTTTGAAATCTATTTATTTGTACGTTGCACACACAGTTTTAACGTTAGCAACCACCATGACAGATGACAGACAGAGAGAGCTATATATGAGAGAGACAGAACATACTTAACTATGGCTAACTACCTATTACATTGTTCTTCAACTCCGACACTCCCTTCCGCCTCACCGACAGGCGGGAGCAGCCATTCGATGATTTTCCCCTTAAAAAAATTATTAGACATTATACTGCGTAGGTATGTGTGTATTTATAGAACCTTCACAACTTAAACCGCAAATAATCTTTTGAAGCAACAATGCTCAAACTCTAAAATCAATTTTGAGATAAAAATATACAAAATTTTTATATTCTTAACTAAGATTACAAATATCTAAGTAATTCCACAAACACATTTAACAGTTTGAACACACAAAAACTCTTAAAAGCATAAACAACTCCGAGATTATCCAATAATTTACCCATCAGCTGTTATAAAGATAATCTTGTCACGATCACCGCAAAAATTGCCTTATAAACTTCTTTATGCTTAGACCTTAAGATCGAATTTCCCACATACGTCTGAAATCTTAGGCTTTGTTTACAGAGACGCGGAGCGTTGGGCGTCTGTCATACATTGCTCATAATACAGTTATTTAACTTGCAATGTATGAATGTGTGTAAAGTCGAATCTTGCAAATTAATATTGGAGCAGATGTCTTCAACCTATTGAACTGAAATTTTGTATACACGTCTAATTTACATAACCATAAATGCTTAGCTTTTTAAAAGTCTGCTACAAGATTATAGCCAAGGATACATTAGGGGACAAATATCGTGCAACACGTGGCGCAAGCGACATCTAGTGTAGTAGCTCGACTTTGCCGGCCTTCGGTTCATTTCATTTTCATTTATTTATTCATTTAACAATTTACATTGTGTCTGTAATTTAATATAGGTACTAAAAGAGACAAGCAAATTCACATTACGAAAACATAATCACATATATTAGTGACATTTGACATGACTGGTAACATCGTGCGACACGTGTTGCCAACTGCATCGAGTGAAGTAGCATGACGTTGCCGGACTTCGCTCGACATATCTGTCCCCTAGTGTAAGTGTAGTTTAGGTATAGCTAATGTATGTCTATTATAAACAAATAAAACAACCTTTACAAAAAAAACTAAACTTTAATCACAATATTTTGTTATTGATTTCTGGCTACACACAATTTAACAAAAAGAAAGTTTAGACGAAACGAAAAGTGATGCGCCGGTTCGCGATGCTGCCCCAAGCGGAAGTGTCCCGGCGGAAGTGTAGGTTGTCTCATCTGTCAATTGAATTTGACAGTTTTACAAACGTCAAACCGACGACGTTTCCTTACACTATTTTATTTGTGTTGGTACCTACCAACCGCGCTACGCAACGCTCCGCGTCTCCGTAAACGGGGTCTTACGTGGTAAAATTATTGGGGAAGGTATAATCGGTACATTGGTTACCAGACCACGTTCCTTCGATTAAATGTACGCACGCTGTCTGAGTTATTTTATTTTGTTTTTGTTTGTATTGATGTGGTTGATGGAAGGAGAAATATATTGGCTTGTTATATCGTGATTATGTATCATGAAAATGGTAAAAAATGTGTGTAAAAATATGCTTTCAAATTAAGAGAAAACAAACAGAGACTCTATGATAAAATTATTATTTTTAAATTGTGATCCCTCACTAACCTTCCAAGTTTAAAGGCGAGACTGAAAAGCCCAAGTGTTAATTATCATATTTTTCTAGTACGAATTTTTTTATAAATGTTCACTGCACAGTTTATAAATTTTCATTAACACACCCGCATACTAATTACTCCAACAACGAAAAAAAAAAACAAAACAAAAGAAACAAAAACAATTCTAAATTCAAAACCTGTTGAAACGTTGCTACCAACAGGTTATGTTTGAAATGCGTCGCGTGACCGCTACATAAAAGATTAGAAACTTTGTTATTTTACCCCGACGCTTTTACAAGGTCACACCTGCTGTTCGTGCATAACCCTTATACTTTGCAATGACACGGCAAAAGTATTTTTAGAATTTGATTTTTTATGAGACTTCAGAACAATGTTTTTGGTAGAATTTAGCACGAAATATTTACTTTAATTTTATGCACAATATATTAAAATAAAAGGACATTTACATCAAAAGGACGAAATACGGGTAAATAACTTTTAAATCTTCATAAAGTAAATTATGCTTATAAGGTATTAGCATTAAAGTCAACATTTCAGAGTTTACTAAAGATTTATTTTTCCAAGAAACAATATTAAATTTGAAAGCCCCATTTTACTACATTTTACAATAATGTGCAACAATATTCTATTTAACTCGTTACACCTCAAACCAAACCACATTTAAACTGTCAAATACCAAGCGGTCACCGGTGACCGCAACCCATTGTTCTATAATTGTGTCTGCAAAACCGGTACTCGACGAGTTAATCAATCATACCTATCAAAGCGAATGAATAAGGAAACATAAATTCCAAAATTTTAGTTTCTGAACCCTAGGATACTTCACAAACATATGATTTCTTAGTGCAAATGCTATACAAAATCTTTGCATTCAGGTTCGAAGGTGAAAGTTGAAACACTTCGCACGAGCACTATGAACAAACGGTCCTTTGTGTTACCGCAACTCAACAGGTTAAGTCTACAACCTCTAGTGGTAGATATTCTACAAAATGTTCTGTTATTCCCCTTTTGTTGGATAAAGGTATTAAGATTGTGTGTAGGATAGGGTTGTGTTTTAATTTGTGAAGGGTTTTGGAGATGCTGATAGCTTTTGGTTTATTGGTCTAGAAGCATATCGATTGCCTCGTTCGCTAAGTGGTCGTAAGTGCGACTGCCGGGCAAGGGGTCTCTGGTTGGATTCCCAGGTCGGGCAAAGTACTACGGAGTCTATAAAATTTAATGTTCTGTTTGTTATGTTGTGGTCTAGAAACCGCGAGTGGGACTTATGAGCAAAAACCGTTGAGTTCGATTTATAAGGAGATCGGATGGGATTCATACATCAAATAAAATCAGGGTGTCTTTATAGGGTCTCCATATGACTCAACAAGGAGTGTACCTAAACACTTAAATTCCAAGTTTGTTGTTTGTTTTCCTGTCTTTTTGTTTCAAGTTCAAATTATTCAAGAAAATTCGATCTCTTACTTATTATTTAATTCAGTACCCATAAAGTTAACATAACAACGATGAAACAAAATGAAATAACAGTATCGGATGACGTCACGCAATTAGTATTACTTTCCCTAAAAAATAAAAATGGCCGTCCAAGCGTACACTCGTATTTTGACGCCACTTCAAGGTCACGCCTACTGTCACTGTTGTAGCGTCGTGTAAGCGATCAAGCGGAAAATGGATATTCTTAATGAAATCTTTCCAATTTTGAAAGAAATTGGTATTGGTTAAAATTTATTTCAAAATGAACGTTATTAATGATGATTTATAACGTCCATTTTGAAACAACCCCATCAACGTCAATAGCCTATAAGTGGCCACTGCTAACCAAAGGCCTCTTCTCACACGAAGAAGGTTTGACCATTAATTACCACGTTTGTTCAATGCGAGTTGGCGATTTCAAACTTATAAAATAAAAATTATACGCCCAGGTATCCTCACGATGTCTTCCTTAACCGTTTGTCATTGGTGTCTAAATAATCTTAAAAAGTACATATAACTCGGAAAAAGTCACATTGGTACTTGCCGTAGGTAAGTTTCGCCCCCTACTCTCATGCACGAGAAGCGGGTGTCTTGAACCATCCATGGAGATTTGGAACACCTGAAGCGTTACAAGTGCGTTACCAGCTTTTTGGGGATTATGAGTTTGAGGATTGTTGGGGATTCAGGGATTGGGGAGGGTACCCTTACTCACACGACGAAACACAAC